ATGAGCTGGTGCCGGGGCTTAGGTGGAGAGCAAATGTTTTGAGAATGATGAGGGCAACGAATTTAAAAATGTGCTTTACACAATTGGTGTATGTATGGATTGTGATAAGAATTGTATGGGCCCCCAATAAAATTAATTTAAAAAATGTTTATAAACAAGGAGCCCCCTTTTGCTGCCCCCCACATAAGGTTTTGTTCATAGTCTGTATACACACACAGTCATTAACCTATTTTGCCAGGTATCTGTACCTCCATTTATTAATCATTCCCCTATATTGAAAATATTTTGTTTCACATTTATGTGCTTATAAATGATATAAAATAGCCTATTGTAACCCTCTAAAATTGTTGGAATCCTGATTTTTTTTTCCCTTTTGTGTAGCATGCAACCATCCAGAATTGGCCAAGTTCAAATTGTAGCATGACAGCACTGGTGACCTACAGGTAATTTCATGCTCGTGCAGCGCTTTTCTGAAATCTTATTGTCTGTTCACTCTGTTAAAGCCATAATGCTACGTTAACATTTCTAAGTCAAGTAATATTGTATTCAAATCTTAATTCTCGTTGATATTAGGTAAGTCAATCTTAGAAAATAGCCAAGGCTGTAATGTTAAACTAACAGGTGCAAGACTGCGGGAGAAATGAGGTATTAAATGTATCAAGTACCTAACACAAGATGCGTTTTCTTGAATGATCGCTCCCATGGTAGGCTCATCAGTGTACTACAGGAATGGACTGGTGAAAATGATGAAAGCGACGACGATACCCGTGACTAGCCCCAGTGCTCAATGAACCATGTACTCTTCCAGGTCCTTCAAGGCGTTTTTCCCGCTCCTTGGCAGCTTTTCTCAGCCAGAGGTCCAGCTCTGGGCACTCTGGGCCATGCATCATGTCTGCAGTAAAAACCGTATGTATTCACGACGTCATCGAGTTCCCCAGCCTTTTCCTTTAAACCTGACTATCGAACCAGGTGACTTATTGTGATCAATGGTTCTAAATGTGTTCTCTAGTTTTAACTCTTAAAAAAGAAAAACCGGGGAAAGTTTGTGTTAGTTTCCAGGCTAACAGAGTATTTATTGGTCACGTACCTGGAGGTGGCTCCCCAGCCATACAGAAAGTGGAAACTGGCTCCTGGTCCTGTTCCCCACGGGCACTGGTCATAACTTGATGAGTGCCCGTCTAGAGACTTCTCTATCTGCATGCTCCATCAAACTCAAATAGTATGAAAATGCATCTAAACAAAACAAGAGGGCCCGCTCTGTGTATGCTGCCCTCCAGCCTGCCTTTTCTCTTCCTGTGTATACGGAAGTCTGTCTCTTTGTAACGGCCCTGGGAAGCTGTGGTTAAATGTCTCTTTGTGTTTGGCATTTAAATGCCACCTTGGGAATTTGGGGTTTTGTTTATACCCTTTGCTCAAAACTATTGTTTTTACTACAAAACAAACAACTATGACTTTGTACTAGAAAACCTGAGAGCATTTTTAGAATTAAAAGTTTAGTGTATTGGCTAAAACAAAAATGTATAAAATCAATAGTGTTTTAATGCCACCACCAACTTAGGAAATGTCCTTAAGGAAAAAGATACCATTGAGAGTATTAACAGAAGCGTTAAAATACAAAGCATGGCTTTAACAAGTAATATGACTTAGGTGAAGAAAACCTTGAAACAATTGATGTTAGAAATTGAGTAAGAGATCGTGTCTTTTCAGTGTGTGAAAAACAAGTAGGAAAGAAACTGCCCCTTCCAGTCAGTAGTAATGGTCTTTCCGAGTGTGCCCTCAAAGTTCCTTGAACATTCTAAGAAGGGCATTGTGGGGGGCACATTGATACACAGGGTCGGTGGTCAGAATGGCCTAGAAATAGACTTGGGTGTCCCTGACAGTGGAAGCAGTCAATAACTAGCATGTAGTTGAACAAGCTTTTTATGAGCAAGTTGCATAATCATTACTACTGGTAGTAGGGTATTTTTACTGTGCTTATGTTACAACTGAGAAAATTGAAGCATTGAGAAGTGAGGTAATTAGCCCCAAGTTAAAAAGCCTGGGAATTGGCAGAGCCAGGGTTCTAACTACTGGTCTGCATCCAGTCTGCTGTAGTAAACAGTATTTCTCTGGTGTTAGATGTCATAATTTAACGAGTCTCCTTTGGATGGGCATTATTTCCAACCTCTTATCACAAACACTTTCAATGACTAATAGCATATGTAAATAGAAAGGTGCACATGACACAATATTTGGTAATGAAGATCGCTGCTGAAGCCAGTCGACTTGTGCTCTGTTCCCAGTGTTGTTCAACAGCTTGGCTGCTCATAGCAGATCCCATTGTGAAGTTGATGACATTGTGTTAGGTCACGGCTTGAGGGAGTCGTAGGCCATAGCTGCCAAGCACAGAGCCCTGGCCCAGGCAATGTGACACAAAACCCATTACAGCACCGCACTCCTTGTGTTCCTTTTCAATGTTGCTTGAGTTTGGGGAACAGAAAAAAAGTCTGAAGAGGTCAGATCAGGACTTCAGGGTGGACTCAGTAAGATTTCCTGAAGATATTCCCTTAGGACAGCCTTGGTAACCTTGGAAGAATGAGCAAATGCCTTGTAGGGATGGAAACATCATCCCCGATGCACCTTTCCTGGCCTTTCTCTCACTAGTGCAGCTCTCCCTTTTCTTACACTCCTTCCTCAGAGCTCCTGACTGTCCTGCGCTGACCTCTCTGTTTTGAATTCAGTTGGACCAGCAAATCCCTCCAGGAAGAGGCATTTTGCTTTTGTTTTTGTATTCTTTTTTTTCTTTTTCTTTTTTAACATTTTATTAGGGGCTCATGCAACTGTTATCCCAATCCATACACAAATCAATTGTGTAAAACGCATTTGTACATCGTTTCTCAAAACATTTTCTCTCCATTTAAAGCCCCGACATTAGGTCCTCATTTTTCCCCTCCCTCCCCGCTCCCCCCTCCCGCATGAGCCCTTGACAGTTTATAAATGGGTATTTTGTCATATCTTGCCCTGTCCGACGTCTCCTTTCATCCACTTTTCGGTTGTCTGTCCCCCAGGGAGGAGGTCACACACAGTTCCATGTAATCGGTTCCCTCTTTCCTACCCATTCTCCCTTTACCCTCCCTGTTTCGCCACTCACACCACTGGTCCTATAGGGCTCATCCGTCCTGGATTCCCTGTATTTTCAGTTCCTATCTGTACCAGTGTACCTCCTCTGGTCTAGCCAGTCTTGCAAGATAGAATTCGAGTCATGGTAGTGGGAGCGGGGAGGAAACCTTTAGGAACTGGAGGAAAGTTGTATTTCTCATCATTGTTACATTGCACCCTGACTGGCTCATCTCCTCCCCGAGACCCCTCTGCAAGGGGATCTCCAGTGGCCTACTGATGGGCTTTGGATCTCCACTCCGCACTCCCCCCATCATTCACTATGGTAAGATTTTTTGTTCTGATGATGCCTTACACCTGATCCCTTCGACACCTCGTGGTTGCATAGGCTGGTGTGCTTCTTCCATGTGGGCTTTGTTGCTTCTGAGCTTGATGGCCGCTTGATTACCTTCAAGCCTTTAAGACCCCAGACGCTATACTTTTTGATAGCCGGGCACCATCAGCTTTCTTCACCACATTTGCTTATGCACTTGTCGGTAGCTATCCACACCTTACAGGTACCAATGTAAACTAAATTTGTTTAGAATCAATCCCTGCATGTATGAACTAGAACCCCAGTAGTAAGACTTTGACCTACCCTTGCACTAACACGCAGAGCCCGGGTCAACTAAAGATGATGACTTCTTCTTTTGAACCCTGTGAAGGGTCGGGCTGTCACTCCTGGGGGATTGAGACCAGCAGCCCTTTCTTCCCCAGGACAACTGCTAGTTGGCTTACTTGAATTTGTGTGTGTTCTACTCTTTGTTTCTGGCTCCTGGGAAATCTGCTGTGTATATAAAGATATTTTCATTATATTTTATCCAGCAACTGCTATTTCGTAGGTCAACCTGCTGCCTGAAAGTGAAATGGGTATTTACTGTTAAAATATCTGGACTGAGATAGTTGAAGCATAGTATTATCTAGAAATAAAGCATACTGAAGTCAACATTTGTAAGCTCACGGCAGAGCCACAATTGCTTCAGTGCTTGACAGCGAGCTGAGAAGTTGGCAGTCTGCTCCCAGAAGGTCGCGGCCTTGAGAGCCCCACCGCCCACTGCCGCTGAGTCGTTCTGACTCACCGTGACCGTTACTCTTTCTACCGGAGCAGAAAGCCTCATCTTTCTCACAGGAGCAGCTGGTGGTTTCCAACGGCTGACCTTGAGGTTAGGAGCCCAGCACTGAAGTCACTGTGCTACCAGGCCTCCTTGACCACCCTGGGGCAGTGAGTTCTGCTCTGACACACGTGAGGTGGCTGTGAGTTGGAGTCACTGCGCAGCAACCAACAACAACCAGCTCACTACAGAAGCCACAATGAGTTTTTGACAAATTTCTCTGGAGCCAACACATTGTCTCGTTTGTTCCCGGGTCAAGGGCTTGAAACGTTTGTGCTCTTCAGAAGAAAGGGAAACAGTACGCTGTGTGTATGTTTAAAATGCCCCTGGTCTTTGCTTGATTTTCTTACAGCCAGCAAATATTGCCGAATGTTGGTTGAAGAAGGAGGGTTGCCGTTTGTGTGTGACATCCAGGAGCACACGGCTGCAGAGCCCCAGGCACGGCAGATGGCAGCCGCCATTCTGAATGACTTCAGGATGCATTTCACCAGCTATCAGAGAGCCCCTCTCCAGCAGTTGTCTTTAACCTGAGGGATTTTGTAATGCTTTGTGCTCACCAGGGTTCCGTCTTTCTGCCCGACCACCAATTGAAGCCGAGACTTGTTCTCCTCCAAGTTTGAGTTAGCCCCTTCCTTGGCTGTCTGTTATCTTCTTTAAGTTACATAAAGATCACGTTTGTATGTTAAAGCTAGATACCAAATCAAGTCGGAATCATTCTGGGGAGTACCATCCCTCCAGTAGCAACTTCACACAAATCACACGTCTTGGGGAAGCAAGCGATCAAACCTGTCTCTGCTACTTAACACTGTTTAGGTTTCCATAGTGATGACTTCACGGGTCCTCACAGGTGAACAACACTGTGTGTTATGATCTAGGTTCACTAAATACGACGTTTGCTTTTTACTTCTCACAAAAGTTTCATTTTGAATTGAAAACTGAGGTACAGAGAGGTTAAATAACTTGTCCAAGGTCGCAGAGCTGACTGTTCTGGGCTCTGAACCCAGCCAGTGGATTCTTGAGCCATGCTCAGTCAGTCCAGGACATACTTACCTCCATTGTGTGGTAGGAAAACAGGAAATTTATTACCACCCTCATCTGTGACATTTACGGAAAAGAGGAGGTCCCGGTGCAGGAGTGGCTTGGTGTGACCCCCGAGTCCATCATCCACAGCGGGGAGACAGATGCCACTAGAGTTAACCCAGCCCCAGGGATTGTCTGGCCCACGAGAGAAGTCAGGCAGGTAAGTGTAGTGGGACAGGCAACACCTTTGAGAACGAGGAGCCGGGCCAAACATTTTATAGTAATCTTTGGCCTTTCAGGAAACAAGCCCTCAGGTTTATAGGTGAAATGATGAGGACAGCCCCCCTGCAATGTTCCTGCTAGGTACGGCCACATAAGGCAGGTCTCTCCCACTCTTACAAATGCATGGAGGGTCATTCGCCAACAAATCTGGGGGGTCGCTTCTCCCTGAAGGCTGCCATGCCCTCCAGTCGGTCCCGAGTTGGGATATTCTGCAACATACAAAAACATTTTTGTTGGGAGGACAGGCCAGAGGCTGGAAGAGACCTGCTGAAGCGTCACCTGCTCGAGACAGCCAGGGCTCAGGTGTGAGCCTCCGTGGCTCCTTGGGCTCCTGGGGAAGGCAGGCCAGCCTCTCCAGCATCCCTGCCCTGCCACCTCTTTACTTACACAGTCTGATCACAGGCTGCTCAGCCGAGACGGAAATCAAAGCTCTGGGTTTGAATCCTGGTGTGTAGTTGGTTCAGCTTAGGACTATGCTAGACATTTCTGAACCTGAAGATTGCATTTTTGACTCACTCAGCAGAGTCGGGCTGGTCAGTTCCATGTTTGCAGCTCCACCAGTGGGCACACACAGCCTGCCGGCTGTAACCGAGGCCTTGAGGTTACACCCCAGTCTCTACAGCAACCACTGAGAGGGTGGAGCAAGCAGTGTGGTTCCCCTGGAACCACTCCAGGTTATTGTGAGCAGGGGTGTGTGTGTGTGTCATGTAGGTAGATTCCAGGGATGGGAATAACTCAACAGTGCTGACCCACCCCCAATCTGCCTTCTGCATGAATGGGCCGGCAGCCACCACATACCTGGGCATAACACATCTCTTCAATGGCCATCCCTGAAGCAATGTCAACCTGCAAGAAAGAAAGAGCACTCGATTAGCCTTACCTTGTCCATCTCTGTCCCCATACCACCCAGCCACACTTCCTGTTTGAAGAGGAGTACGGATGCTGACCACCTCAGCTGCAACTGGAGAAGTTGGCACTTGGAGTCCACCTTGGAGGGTCACCTCCTTGTGAAAACCTAGTGGAGCACAGTCCCACCCTGACACATGAGAAGTGGCCCGGAGCTGAGCTGACTCAATGGCCCCCTTTTTGTTTTAAACTGAGGTACAAAGAGAAAGGCCACTGGAAGGTTTTTTGAAGAGTCCACCCTGTTCCTGAGAATCCCTTCTAGTTGTACTGCAACCCTAGTGTCCTGGTCACCAGACTAACGGAGTGGACCTTCTCACCTCTATTCCTCGATCAATGGCGACTTTGCCCAGCCGCACCGCGATGGGAGCCTAGGGGAAGGAAGAACTCTTGTTGAGAAGAGGGTGAATGCTGACAGGCAAGAGGTTTAAACCAAGAAAGGCACACAGCTCGGTTGTGGGGTCAGTCTTGGGTAGAAGTCTGCACCTAGTTCTGGCTATTCTACTAACAGTGTTACCCCTGCTCCCTGTGTGTGGGGTGGGGGTGCAATGAAAGTGTTACGAGCTAGTATAAGTAATTTAGAGATTTAAAGAATATGAGAGGAGGGTGTTTGAAGGTTATGTGCAAATCTGCCATTTCCTGTAGAACTTGAGTATTCATTGATGGTATTGGGGGTGGGGTAACCTGAACCCAATGTGACCCCTCAGTACTGAGGGCTGACTGCTCATTTTGGGTGTGCTGGTATATTGACAGACAAATCTACTTTCAAGTACTGAAGTACCAGTCATTGTATTGGACTGGTTGATAGCGCTCAGTGGAATTGGAATTTTGTATCATGTTGATCCAAGTGCAGGTATCCAGGTATGCCCATGACAAATGGCACCCAGCGTACAGGTCTTGCTAGAGGGGTTCCCTCTGGGAGCCCAGGCATTGATTTAGATCCTCACCCAACAAGTGTGATATTCTTAGCGGAATTGTCTGAGACTCCTCAGATTCCATTCGTTTACAATGAGACAAACGAAAGACAGAACAATGCTTGCTTTTAAACCCAACTAAACCATCACTTTGTCAACATTACAGCCCCAGCCTCTCCCCCAATAAAAGACACTATCAAAAGTTAACAAGAGGTAGTTATTTAAAATTGAAGAAGTTGGGTGGCGGGGGGAGAAACCTTTAAAATGTTTTTTAATATTTTATTTTCATGTGCTAATAATTCAAATAATACGGTTAATATTTCTATAGGCTTGTTTTAATTTATATTTTGTAACATGTTTGTTCATTTTTGTATTGGAGATACATTAAGTATTTAGCTTCACTGTTTTAAATATTGTGTACTTACTATGTCCCCTTAAAAGTAAAGTTTTGATACTATACTGTATACTTGTGTTCTCATTTATTTTTATTTACGTACACACACACACTTTACAAAAAACTGCTGAAGTACCAGTATAGACCTGGGAGTTCAAGAACTCTGTGACCTCAATGTGACCTTGATGCTATTCACCCTTTCCAGATCCATTTCCCCTCAGGTCAAATGGAGGCGGGCAACTTGTTTCCAGATTGTTCTAATAATTGTGTTGTATTATGGATGGGGAGGTGTTCAGGAAGGGCTAGGTCAAGATGTAGCTTATCAGGCAAACCCAGATGTAGCTGCCTTCGATGGAGGAAATGTGGATTGACATCTCCCAGGCTTTGGGCCCCGAGGAAGCAAGGATGGTACCTGACCAGGGCCAGAACTTAACCTACCCCTGCGCAAGCATTTCTAAACCTTTTGGAGGGCTGATTAAGGGCAGTTGGGGAGATTAAAAACGAGTCTTAAAACATGGTCATTGTATTTCAAGAATTTCTGTGCCATATAGCACCCCAGGAAAGGTGGGCTGAGCATTTTGTATCTGCTCTGGAATCTTCTGTTATTTGACAGGTTTGAGGACCCTTAAAAGACTTCTTACTATCCAGGTAAGGCAACCATTAGCTGCATAGGCCCTTGAGAGCTTGGAAGTGTGGTTTAGTGTGCCTGAGCAGCCGGTTTCATTTGGCTGCATGTGCTGACTCATGGCTACCATACTGCATAGGGCAGACATAGAACATGCCTCGTCACAGGCAGTGCTGGGCAGGGCTTCCACATTGTCTTCATTTTAATTCAGAATTAAAATTTTACTTTTATTTTGCTTACTGGGTAGCTGAATGGGTGCAGAAACGCCAAAGGAGGTTAATTTTATGTCTTTGGGTGACTGGCTCCTCTGTAGTCCCCCAGAACACCCCCTTCCCCCCCAATCTTCCCCCTCCCTGCACGTGCTTCCCCTCCTGGGCTGAGCAGCCATCCAACCTGAGGCAGGATCTCCTGAGCCAGTGCTCGAGCCCGCTGGTAGGCGGCGTCGCCCTCCTCATTCTGGGTCACAGCGTGGTTCACCAGCCCCAGCACCTGGGCCTGGGCCCCGCTCAGCCGCCGGCCAGTGAAGATGAGCTCCTTTGCCAGCGCCACTCCCAGGCAGCGTGGCAGCCTCTGAGTACCTCCTGCCAAGGAGGGGCAACAGTATGGGTGGGGTGTGAGGCCCGAAAATGCACAGTGCAGAATTCAGCCAAGAGTGGAGGGCGGGGCCCAGGGTGCTGCAGACCAGTACAGTCAATCAGTATCAGTATAGCGAGTTGCACATGTGCCTCGGTGTGTCACGTGTCACGTCTACACTGCTATGGTTAGTGCAGTAGCATAAGAAGTAGATACTTTGAGAACTACCAAATGTGACACATTTGTGGTTCAAGGCTATAGATGGTCAATTTGGGAACGACAGCATCTGAGGCACAGTGAAGCAGAGCATGCCTGTAGCCAAGAAACTGGGCAGGCAGAGGAGAGGGGTTACCTGCCCCTGGGAGGAGCCCTCGGGTGGTCTCAATCAGCCCCATCACAGCCGAAGAAGCTGTAAGAACACAACAGAGTGAGCCCCACACCATCTTCCAGAGTCAGCCATTCATGGGGAGGAGATGCGGTACCGCGCGCGTGTGTGTCCCGTGTTCCCCCCCCCCTCCCCCGCCATACACTGCCCCTTCAACCACTGCCTCATGACCTAGCAGCAGACTGCCTTTTGGGAAGACCTAAGTCCACCCTGGGAGTCTGGAGGCCCAGGTCCGCACACCTGCTGGCAGAGTTGTGTGTCACCAGGTAGGTCAAGGCTCCTTTCATAGAGCTGCTACGGCTCTACCGAGGTGATGGTGCTTGGAAGGCCCCTAATAAGCGACTTGTGGGCTCGCGGATACTGGCTCTGGTCTGTGGCCCAGTGTCAGTGCTTGCTCCTGCCACGGTTACTCCTTCCTCACTTTGAGCCACAGCCTGCCGCCCCCCTGCTTTCCAGCCCAGTCGCCCTCAGCCTCAACCTCCTCAAAGATGGCCCACCTTCGCAGGTTTCCATCAGCATAGACCGTCTGAACTTTGCAGTGTGGGCAGGAGAACACTCATTACTAATTCTTATGAAGGAATTCAATCACCATTTCTCAGTGCTCACTAAAACCCTGTGAGTTAGTTGCCCGAAATACAGGCTGGCGAGGAGGGCATTGGGGTGGGGAGTGCAGGGGCTGCGTGGCCCCCCTGCACTGTATAGATAGAAACAACATCCGCACTGGGAATTACATGTATTTCCAATGTCCTTCCTGAGATAAGGAGCCCTGGTGATGCTGTTGGGTAAGCATTGGACTGCTAACAGAGATCAGCAGTTCAAATCCACCAGCTACACCTCTGGAGGAAGACGAGGCTGGCTGCTACTGCAAAGGTTTACAAAGTCTCGGGATCCCTATGGAGGGGTCACTGGGCCTGAATTCACTCAGGCAATGGGGGCCGGGGCATTTCCTCCACTCATCAAACAACCCAACTGCTTTGTACAAAGAGTGCAAACGTTGGCTGGTGCCAGTGAGCCAGAGGGCAGTGATCCTGCTCACGTGTTTGCAACTATCACTGTCCGTGTGACTCAGCTTTGTTCAAAATAAAGTGATCTTTAACCCAACTGGAAGGCTGAACAGAACCTTTGTCCTCCGGCCTTCCCCTCTGTGCCCTTGTGCCCTCCCAACAGCGACTGCTCTGAGACGGGGAGTCACTGGAGATGAGGGAGACTTTCAGACACTAGCAGTCAGCAGCAGGGCCAGGAGGGGAAGCAGTTTCAGTGGCCAATTCTGCACCTCCAGACTTACCCTGCTTCGCTCTCCCCTCCCCATCTGGCCCTGCCTCACCTACTGTACAGTACCTGCCACTCGGAGGTCACAGGCCAGGGCGAGCTCCAGACCCCCTCCCAAGGCAAACCCATCCAGAGCCGCAATGGTGGGCGTAGGGAAGGATGCTGTGGAGACAAAGAGAATCAGCTTCCAGGTCTTTGTAGAACCAGGATAGGCTTACTGCTGGGGAGGGGCATGCTAACTGGAATGGAAGGCCTCACTGGTCTCAGGTGTGGGGCCCCCACCTGGTACCTCCCCCAGGTTACCATAGGACTCTGTTCTCCCACCAGATAAGGAGATCCATTGGCAAACTGGGGAGCCGAGCTGAAATGGTCCTTGCTCAAGCCCACCCCTAATGGGCTCCCTGGGGCCAGCCTTCATGTTCTCCCTGTTCCTCCTGTGAGCATGGTAAGGGCCCTATGTTGGGAAGGTAGAACAGAGTCTCCTAGAGGAGGCAGACGTGTGGCTATGCAGTGATGGCCCCGAGTAATCCGTGCTTGGAAGGTGGGTCTTGGAAAGCTTCCTGGAGGAAGCAACATGAGAGGCCCATGTGTGATCCAGCCCAAGGGACCAGCCTTTTGTCAAAGTTTGGGAGCATGCTTGACCTCTGGGGTGGCAGTCCCTGGGGCCTGTTGGCAGATGGTCATGTGGAGCTGCCAAGGAGCCAGGTATACCTCTGGGAGAAATGGCCTCAGTTCCCTTGTCATCCCACCTTGCCCAATACCTTGTGCATTCTCCCACCTTGGGAGAATCCTCTGCACCTCCCCTCACCCCCAAACTCACGTTCTGCCTTTAAAGTGGAAGATGGCGGGGGCGGCACACAGAGGGGCTGGGATTGACAGGAACACCCTCCCCTGACACCCAGACCCTCACCGATGTTATTCATCAGGCCTCGGAGCCGCTGGACAAAGGCCCTCACCTCGGCCTCACTCATCTGCTCTCGCTCCTTCAGGTCGGCACCTGCAGATGGTGAGGGGAACTGTGAAAGCCCTCGGGAAAGTGACTGGCTGCCGAATCCCAGGCCATGAAAGGACCCAGGAAAAGCAGGCTTGGGGAGGAACAGAAAAGAGACGTCACCCAAGCCAGGAGAGAGAAGGGTCAACGAGGGCAGGGCCAGTGGGGTCTGGGGAGGCCAAGAAGTCCAGCAAGACAAGAATGGGGGTGAAGTGGCTCGGAGGGACCAGGAGCCCAGGGAGAGTCGTGACATGGTGGGGTTGGTGAAAGCAGATGGCAGGGGTTGGGTCAGGGTAGGGCGTGAGTGTAGGCTTTCCGCATCCTACGCTGGAGGAGTCAGGACGGAGGGGCCCTTGAAAGACTGACTTGTTCCAGCCTTTTCCATGATGGAGGGGGAAAGGCCAAGGGAGGGGCAGAGACTAGCTTAGCTGGGTTCCAGAGCAAGTCAAAGGCACAGTCCCACCTCTTGGCCCCCGCCTCTTGCCGCCCCCTCCTCCCTCATGCTCAGCTGGCATGGCAAGGAATAGGTCTTAACGGGGCATAGCGTGGCAGTGACGGAGGAGGGTAAGACAGATGGAGGCAAAGTTGGAGGCCAAGGCAGTGAGGTCTTCCTTCAGGGCAGCTCGGCCAGGCCCCTGGGCTGTTCCTTTGTGCTGTCTAGGCTGGACAGCTGTGCTCCTTAGGGATGTGTCAGCTAGACACTCCTGGGTATGGGTAGGGGCAGGGCTCAACCTGCCAATTGCGTGGCGGCATGATGATACCTCCTTGTGGTCAAAGCCTTTTTGTGTAAGCGAGAAAGACGGCAGAGTTGAGTCCTCTTTGGCCCTTGACCATCTGCTGGAGCGGGATCCTGTGTGGATCGCCTGCCATCCCAGGAGCCATCAGCAGGCTACTGACGGTGGATTCATTCGGCTGACTTCAGACCTCTGCCGCCACCCTGCTGCCTCCGCTTTGTCCTCTTGTTTCCAGTCCATCGGCTTCCCCAGATCAGGAGAAGCTTGACTGGACTAACCTACGCCATTTCTTGATGTGCATTGCTTTCTGTATACAATACATTGAAGCCTTACTGGTTTTGTGTCTCTAGAAAACCAGCCTCACACAGCACCCTAAGCCCAACAATGTATCCTCTTGTAAACCTCAGACTCATGCTCCTGTCCCCTCACAGCCTTCTTCCCGCCTTGGGAGAGACTCTTCTTGTTGCTCCTTCCCCATCGCGGGAGGCGGGATGCCTGGATTCCAGGTCTGTTCTCATGGACATGCCTCACGTTGTGGCTTGGGGGGGGGTTAATGTTCACCTTTGAAGCACAAGTTCACAGTGCTTGCCCCATTGTGAAGACCAGATGGCACGTGGGCAGTGGGGCACGGTGGCAGCTGAGATCCTGGAGGTGGGCAACAGAGTCCCACTTTGTAGACATCTTTGGACACAGCTTCCTCAATGCTGAGTGAAGAGGTAGGAAAGATGATGATGCAGTAGAAAGAATTACAAGGATTTGGGGGTCAGGTGGACCAAGATGACATCCTGTTCTCCCCTTTAATAACTAGCTGTGTGACCCTACGTCTTTGCCTTCACAACTGTAAAAGGACTCCCCCAGCCCTGCAGGGTGATGCCCACCCTACAGAGCCTGGGAGTGGCTGAGGGAGCGAACCCACCTGCACAGAACACACCCTTCACGCCGCTTCTGAAGAGCAGGACACGCACCTGTCGGTCCTCCCGGAGCCGGGCCAGCGCTTCCAGCAGCTGGAGAGGAGACGCTGTCAGCCACCTGCGGACTCAGCACCGCCCCCACCCTGGTGCCCAGCCCCCTCACCTCACTGACGAAGATCTTCCCCAGGGCATTTCGGGCTCCAGGTCTGTTCATCAAGATCTCAGTGATCCCTGCAGGGGAGAGGGCAGCCTTGGGTGAGCCAGTTGGCCCTGCTCACCCCTGCGCCAGGGCCAGGACTCAGGAGGCCTGGGTGTGGGCAGCCCTGCCTTTGCTGAGCACTTGGAATACACCACAAAAGCTGGGGGGTCAGTTTTCCTGACAAAGTGGAGGACACGCAGGAAGCAGGGCTTGTGAGCCCTGCAGCCCAGGGGAGGGGAAGGAGAAGGGCCATGTCTACGGCTTCTACGGCTCCTGTCTGCTTCTGCCACCGTGGCTCGCTCTCTCTCTCTCTCTCTCTCTCTCTCTCTCTCTCTCTCTCACACACACACACACACACACACACACACACACACACACACGCACGTCTTCAATTTCATAGCTCTCCATAGTTTTCTTCAATGCCAAACTGCTGATTAGAGTCCAGTGAGTCATTATACTCTGAAATAAACTACCCCCTGAGATCAAGAAACAGAACTGTGTCAGCCACCCCAATGTCCTCCTGATCACAGTCCCGATGTCCTCCAAAAGAAGCCACCGTCGTGACGTTCATCAGACTCACTCCTGTGATTTCATAGATGCATCGTCCATGGGCCTCTCCGAAATGAGGCGAGGCAGGAGTCTCCACTTCCTCGGCAAACCCTTCCACACTCACTCACCTCCTGTGCACCCCTCTCCCCAACCCTCAAGGCCTGAATATCCGTCCACGGCCCGGGGGGATGTCTTGACTTGCACCCCGCTTCCCGTAAAACAATCTTTCTCCTGCAATCTCAGTGAGCAACCACCTCACCGTAATCCCGGATGTCTGTCTGTCTGTCGTGTCACCTCCCTCCCCTCTCAGAAATCATACTCAGTCCCCAGGCCCTGCCAGTCCCACCTCTTAAATCCCACTCAGATCTTTCGGCTCACCTCGCTCCTCACAGCCACAAACCCTAACACAGCTGCTCCTCTAGTCCTCGGATTGCCCAGCTGACCTGCCTGCCTCAGCCTTGCTCTGTGTTCATGCCAGACGGGTCACAGTCATCTCTCTAACCCAGAACGGGCCAGAATAAAGCCCAATTCCCTAATGGGGAACCACAGGGGGCTCCCCCACCTATACAGCCCCTGCACACCACTCTGGCTTCCACTCCTGTTGCCTGGTGTAGGTGGACTTGGCAGGGGCTACAACACTTGTACCCTCCCCTTCAAGCTGTTTCCCCCCTTAAGAAAAGTGGAGAATTATTTTCCACTTCTTTGACCTCAAACACCTCCCTCCCCCATCACCCTCAGCTCTGTCTGAAGAACATACAGTGCTATATCTGTTATGTCCACATGCTCTGTGAGTTGAGCTGAGATAAGAAAGGGCCAAGGGAGAGGGGAAGGGCCAAGGAGTCTCAAGAAACAGGGTCCCAGCTGAGCGTTCTAGGGGCAGAGGAGCTGTGGCCTCCTCGGTGAGCCCATGTCCCCAAGGACCTTTCCAGCTCTGGGGTCCTAGAAGAGCACACACCTTGGGGGATGGGAAATGATGATGGCGACGGAGAAATCAAATGAAGAAGGACGCCATGAGATTAGTCATGTGGGGGAGGTGACTTGACATCACTCCTCTGATGACGCTAAGACGACACACACTAGAAAACACCCCTCCGTGGCTGGCTTTAAAACAACACGCTGCACGTGTAGAGAGACCCCAGCCAGGAGCTGGGGGGTCCGCTCAGAGCTGGCCATGGCTCTCAACCACCAGGCACGAGAAACAGGAACCTCGGTCCAACAGCCACAAGGCAGTGAATTCTGCCAACCACCTGAGGAGATTGGAAACAGACCTTCATCTGGCCACGCCATCGATGGGATGCCCTGGGTGCCAACCTGGCAAGACTCTGACATAGAGAATCTGCCTCAGCTTTGCCCGGACTTTTGACAGTCAGAAGCTGAGAGCTAATACATGCACGTCATTTGAAGCAGCAACGTCTGTGGTCATTTGTTAAGAGCAGCAGCAAACTAATGGTTCAGACTTCTGAGATGGACAGGCATTTTACACGCTTCTCTTTGCTCTCTTGTTTTCTTTTCTCCCTGAATTGTTCTCTTTGTTTTCCCCTCCATTTTTATCTTCCTCTATCAGTGTGTTATCTTAATATTCTTTACTTGATCTCTAGGTTCTAATATCCATTGCAATGGCTACCCAGAACTCAGCAGACAAAATTCATAATTAGAGGGTTTATTAAGGAAGCTAACATGTAATGCCAGTGAGGAATGCTCAGGACAGGCTTGTTTATCCGGACACATCACATAGTTCTTCCAGCTCTGCTAGTAAACGCCCAAAGGGGCATACCACTCCATTCTAAGTCTCAACCCCAAGGCATTCAGCTCAAGCTCCAAGGGTCAGAAAACCCAGCTTCCTGAATTAAATACCCAGAAGCAACCCAGCCCAGTACGTCTCAGCCCAAAGGCACTCAGCTCCACTTCCATGGGTCAGCAAGCCCAGCTTCCCCAGCTAAGTGCCCAGAGGGACCCTGTTCCAAAGACAGCTGTTAAAATGAGTACAAGGTGGGTGCGCCTGCGGGCTCTCTCTCCACCTGCTGTTCAGTAACAAGCCCGGTCTGTTTTCTATCAAAATACGTAAGAAAGTATCTAGGTGAGGTCTAGTGTGCTTGCACTGATGGACGCAAGCTGACGGACAGTGCGGAGCTGAAGATCGGAAAGATGAACGAATGTGGCTGCTCGCTGGAGATCCAGAGCAGGCCTGAGCAGAGCCCTTGTCTTCTCTTGGCTGAGAGCAGCCAGGTGATTGAACTGCCAGCCCTTGCCCTGGAATCCCCTTCCAACCCCATACATCAGAAGTTCAGCCCTGAGGGTGCGGGAAGATGGGGTGTGAGTGGGGGGTGGGAGCTGATAGCGTGGATGACTGTAAAACTCCACTCAAGGGGTGTGAACAACAGAGTTGTCGGTGAAAGGAGCTCGTGCATGTGGTAAGACGTGGCAAAGTAAATGAATAAATCAGTAAATAAGGGTTTATGGGGGTGGTTTAGATGGGGGTGGAAGGGATAAAGGGGAGCTGATATCAAGGAGTGCGAGAAGAAAGAGTATTTTGAAACCAATTGTGGTAGCAATTGTACAATACTGCTTGATGTGATTAAACTATGAAATGTAATGATGTCTGTAAGAGCTCCCAATAAAATGATTTAAAACATATATATATTTATATATATTATATGTAATGAGTACAAGGTGCCACCCTTAAGTGAAAGGCAAGCCTGTGACATCTAACGTGGACGTCAGTCGGTCCCCATCCCAAGTTATTCTCTGCAGGTGTGGAGAATGTCCTCCCCCCTCCGCTGCTTCTCTGTGGCTTCCTTCCCGTCTTCCTTCCAGACTTCCTTCTACCTTCCTCTCAGTCTCTGGCAGGTGGGCAGGGATGAACTCTGACCCTCACATCTGGATTAAACCGTCTGTGCTCTATGTGCAGGTCATTTTGTATTCTGACGATAGTTTCCTAGATCTGCTGGAACAAAGTACCAAAGCAGGTGGATTAAAACAGCTGGGTCTCACCGTTCTGGAAAAACCAAAACTCACTGCCACCCAGAGTCGATTCCCAATGACCCTGAAGACCTCTGGAGGGCAGAAGTCAAAGGTGTTGGCTGAGCCAGGCTCTCTTCAAAAGCTTTGGGCAAGATTCGACTTCTGGTGGTTCCTGGCAACCCTTGGCATGCCTTGGCTTGTGGTTGTATCACTCCACCATCTGCCTCTGTCTTCACCTAGCCTTCTTCCCTCTGTGTCTCTTTTTAGAGGATACTAGTCATACTGAATTAGGGTCCATTCTCCTTTTTCCTGTAAAGGCACACTGGTGGCACTGTGGACTAGGTGTTAGACTGATAACCACAGGTGAGCAGTTCAAATCCACCAGCCTCTCCAAGGGAGAAAGATGAGGCTGGTTGTTCTCATAAGATGTACAGTCTTGGAATCCCTATAGAGCAATGTTCCCAAAGTGGGCTTGAGGGGTGGGAGGGGTTGCTGGAGCAATCCGGTAGGGCTGCAAAAGCAGAGATTGACACTTTACCCTGGATATGGG